AACCCGAGGAATAAAGTGGCAAGAGTCCTTCCTCCAACATTTCGACGTGTTTCGCAAAATTTGTGTTGCCAACGCACTCCACAAAGCTCGATCTCCCACCAACCCAAACAGCTCCCCAAGCCATCACGCTGAAACCACCATGCTTCACAGTTGGCTGCAATCTGTTGAGCCAAAACTCTTGGTGAGGCATTCTCCAGACCCACATCCTTCCACTGTCCGAAAATTGGGCGAATCTTGATTCGTCTGAGAACAATACGGTCTTCCAAAAGTCTAGAGGCTTGGTCATTATATCACTTGCCCACTTCTTTCGTCTGACTCTGTTGGCAGGTCTTAATAAGGGCTTCCGTCTAGCTGCTCTGCAACGATAACCCAATCTGTGGAGAATCCGTTGAACAGATTTCGGGCTCATCCCACCAACTTTGGACACTTCTGTAGTCGTTAATCTGGGATCCATTTCGATGCTCCTCTTGACAGTCCTTTTCGTCCTCTCCGATGGACCAGGACGACCCGGACGCTGCTCAGTTGTTTCCTTGCCGTGTTTCCTGAACTGCACGATGATTCTGTTGACTGTCGAAAGCGGGATTCCCAAATTCTGCGAAATTTGCCGCTGACTTATTCCACCATCTGCTTGACCAACAAAATCTGACAATTGGAGAGAACCTTGAGTTCTAGGCATGTTGTAGCACAAGATAATTAGTGTGCGGACCGTTTTCATTTATATAGTGCTCTGTGAACACAAATTAGTTAGCATAAATCAGTTAAATGACGACAAATTAGGTGTCTATTTACTTGTGACTACTCAGTGTAGGTCAGATTTAACGCGCTAATCATATGTTACATTTTTTTTGCCCCCCAGTGGTACAGTGGTATGTCTGTGGACTTGCAACTCTAGAATCCGGGTTTCGATACCCGTGGTAAGCAGAGCACAGATATCCCATTGTGTAGCTTTGTGCTTAATACAAACAAACAATACATATTTTTACCATATAATACTTTCAGGTTTTGAATTATTTTTTTATTTATTTACTCATCTCTATTGACATGAGCTCCGAAAGTATTAATATACTACCATAAGTTAACTTTTTATCATTATATAAATTAGGAGACTCAGTCCTTTACTTCGTTTCAACTGTTCCAGCTAGCTACTGGTTCACTATGTGTGTTTTCTTACAACAAAGCCACATTGGGGTATCTGCTGTGTCTACCGAGGGGAATCGAATCCCTGATTGTAGCGTTGTAAATCCGAAGACTTACCGCTGTCCTACCGGGGGAAGAGCTATTGGTTCATGTCAAAATCTAGTAAAAAAATTAAAATCGATTCAACTTTAATGCTAAGCATTCGTTTTACGCAACTTTTGTATATGCTCGAAATGTGGATCCGAAGATCCACGGTTCGAGTTCGTTGTCGCAAAATTGCACTCCGCGCTTTGGAGACATTGATGCGCTATAAGACTGACCGTCAAATCCCAATATTCGAATAGAATAGTCCAAAAGTTGGCCGCCTTCCCACTTGTCCGTCAGTTCCAAATCCGAGTCAGCTAGTGCAGTTAGCCTTTTGTAACTTTGCGCGAATATCCGAACCAATCCAAACTGTTTAAAATTGTTTATATATAATTTATTTATGGTATCCGTTTATTAATTTATTTTATGAAAGAAAGCGATCTTCTTTTTGACATCAATGACAGATAAATGGGAGTTTAACCAGCTAAACGGGTAAAAATAATCTGTACTGCGTGAGAAAAATCAGTTATGTATAGTTAGGGATTGGAGATATTAATTTCACTAATTTTTTTTAGAATATTTGGAACAAGATAAATACCAAATAAAGCTTGAATTCCTAAAATATTTGCTTGTTGGTTTGAAGTTAAGCACAAAGCTATACTGTGGGCTATCTGTGCTCTGCCCACCACGGTTAAGTCCGCAGACATGTCGATGTGCCACTAGGAAGGGGGGAATGCCTACAATATTAAACTTTTGTAGAAGATAAAATAATGGCAGCGTTAAAAAAGTTAACAATAATGGTTTAGCAGAATTTGAAATTATTAGTATGTTATCCTGTATTGTCGATCCACGTAAGCTAAAAACCAACACAATAAATTTGTCACAGAATTCATAATGTAATGGTACATTTAAAACACCTGTACCCGAGGGCGACAGCTGTAAAAACGTCCGTTCTTTCCATAGTCGACTTTATTGTTCGTTTTTCATATAAATCACGCTGTTTTACACATGATGAATCAAGCTGTAATATTGGAATGAATCAAAGTTACGAAAATAGTTCTACACGAAGTTAACAATGAAATGTTAAAGCGACACATAATTAAAGAGGGTGCTTCACCTGTGACATAATATAGTTATACACAAAGTTAACAATGAAATGTTAATTGACTCATGATTAAAGAGGGTGCCTTACCTGGAACGTAAAATAGTTACACACGAAGTTAACAATGAAATGTTAAGTGACACATAATTAAAGAGGGTGCTTCAACTAGAACGTATTGTTATGACAGCGGAAGTCACGTGACGCTGCTGGCGCATTGGTGCTGGTGGCGTGAATTTCCTAGTTTGTTCGGGACGTACTCTTTTTTTAGTATATAAGCCCGGCAAACAAAAGCAGATATAGATAGATTGAAGAGATAGATAATTGAGTCAAGCGAACAGTAGGTAAAGTGTGTGAATCATTGCGATTTATAGCGTGTGTTATAAAGGTTAAGTGACTGTGGAAATTCTGTGCATTACAAAAAAGTTGTATTGAGAAAGAATAAACTAGTTTTAATCAAGAAGGGACTTGTATCGCTGAAGTTTCTCTGAAATAATTTTTATCAGAAATGATCAAACAAGCAGATACGTAACAATATGTTCTGAAAACTACCTTTCTTCACGTCAGACTAGAATAATAAATTGAACTGGTGAAAGACATGTGAATAATTTTTCTCACTTATGGAACACCAGAAGATACACTAAAATTCAACAACAACAATAATAAATAGTCCTGATTATGAGGAGCAGTACAAAATAAGTTTCTAGGTAATCAGTTGGGTACCCTCGTTGCTAGCGGTGTTTTCGGTCATTATCCCAAGAAGGTGTATTTGAAGCTGCAGTACCGTATAACTGTGTAAATTTCAATCTGTCAGTGTCTTCACAAAATAGGAGTATAAAATATATTAATTGAGGTGCTACTTTTGTACAGTGCTTGGTAAATAGAAAGGCACAAACAAGTTTATCAACTTCCAAGAAAATATAAAGTTCTTAAAATGTACGGAAACTTGATTCTGTTCCTATTCATTGAGTGGCTGACAAGAGAAATTATAAATAAATGTTTGGCATGATGAATTTTATATCCACCAGTAACATATGGTAAACTTTGAGAACAAATATAATGATGTTTTTTTTAATTCTCTAAAACCTTTTTTTTAACCCGAATATTTAGATTTTAAGCCTAATTTTTGATTTCTTTACAAACGGCATGGCTAAGTGGTTGGGGCGCTCGACTCGCAATCTAAGGGTCGCGGGTTCGAATCCCC